AAATATCCCAGAACAGCAGCAGGAACACCCCAAAAATCCCCCAAAAATGTCCCAAAATAACAGGAAAAACACCCCAAAAATCCTCCAAAATTGTCCCAAAATATCAAACGAAACAGCCCAAAAACCATCCCAGAAAAGCCCCAACCCCAAAATGCCCAAATTCCCCCAAATTCCCCCCAAATTCCTCCCAAATTCCCCCCAAACCCCTGAACGTCCTGGCAGGTCCCGGCAGGTCCTGGCAGGCCCTGGCAGGTCCCAGCAGGCCCCTGCAGGTCCTGGCAGGTCCCGGCAGGTCCTGGCAGACCCCGGCAGGTCCTGGCAGGCCCCTGCAGGTCCTGGCTGGTCCCGGCAGGTCCTGGCAGGTCCCGGCAGGCCCCTGCAGGTCCTGGCAGGTCCCAACAGGTCCCGGCAGGTGGGCGGGGCGCGGGACGGGAAGACGAGGCCGGGGCAGTCGCAGAGGCGCACGCTGCCCGTCAGGAAGTGCGTCTGGAAGTAGCGCGTGCGGCCGGGGCAGCGCGACACGGCCACGGCGCCGCGGCCCAGCAGCGCGTTCAGCACCGACGATTTCCCTGCGTTCGGCAGCCCTGGGCGGGGCCGCGCGCCGCTCAGACACGCCCACGGGGCACGCCCACTGAGCCACGCCCACCCGGGGTATACATACAGAGCCACGCCCACCCGGGGTATACATACAGAGCCACGCCCGCCCGGGGTATACATACAGAGCCACGCCCACCCGGGGCACGCCCAGTGTGAGCCACGCCCACCCGGGGTACAGGTACAGAGCCACGCCCACCCGGGGCACACCCAGTGAGCCACGCCCGCCCGGGGTATACATACAGAGCCACGCCCACCCGGGGCACGCCCAGTGTGAGCCACGCCCACCCGGGGTACAGGTACAGAGCCACGCCCACCCGGGGCACACCCCCCGCTGTGGGCCATGCCCCCCGGGGTACAGGTACAGAGCCACGCCCACCCGGGGCACACCCAGTGAGCCACGCCCGCCCGGGGTATACATACAGAGCCACGCCCACCCGGGGCACACCCAGTGTGAACCACACCCACCCGGGATATACATACAGAGCCACGCCCACCCGGGGCACACCCAGTGTGAGCCACGCCCACCCGGGGTATACATACAGAGCCACGCCCACCTGGGGCACACCCACTGTGAGCCACGCCCACCCAGGGTACACATACAGAGCCACGCCCACCCAGGCTACAGGTACAGAGCCACGCCCACGGGGCACACCCACAGCGAGCCACGCCCACCCAAGGTACACCCACTGTGAGCCACGCCCACCCAGGGCACACCCACTGTGGGCCACACCCACCCGGGGTACACATACAGAGCCACGCCCACCTAAATCACACCCACTGCAACCCACGCCCACCTAGGGACACACCTGTGCTAAGCCACGCCCATCTCAGGCACACCTACACGGAGCCACACCCACCTGGGACACACCTGCACCGAGCCACACCCAGAAAGCACACCCACACTGACCACACCCACACTAACCCACTGGCCACACCCCCTGACTCCACTAATTAAGCACACCCCACTGACCACACCCACACTGACCACACCCCAGTGACCACGCCCAGCGTGGCCCCGCCCCCTGGCCCCGCCCTCTCACCCACGCAGCCCAGGGTCAGCACGCCGTGCCGGTAGCGCTCCCACTGCCGGGGCGGGGCCACGCCCCCAGGCCCCGCCCCCTCCTCCTCCTCATCTTCATCCCCCCGCGGGGGCTCCTCCTCCTCCTCCTCCTCTTCATCCTCCTCATCCTCGGGGCGCTGCTCCGCCCGCTCCAGCCGCGCCCGCCAGCTGCTCAGGTCCACTGGGGACACGGGGGGGTCACTGGGGACACTGGGGGGACACTGGGGGGACTGGGACACTGGGG